AAATAGCTAATTATTCTTTAAGGATTACGTAGTAATTAACTATATATAGAATGCTTTATTATAGCTGCTCTATTTTGGCAAGCCTAGTAGTTAACTATGCAAATAGCTGTTTAACTATTAAACTATATTAATACTTAGGGAATTAGCCTTTTATAACTGTGCAGTGTCCTTAATAGGATTTTAGCTAAAGTTACTACTTTTTTAATTGCAACTAGTTTTATTATTATGCTATTAATATTGCCTTTTAATTTGATTTATTGTAAGAGGGTGGATAGTAATATAGGCTTCTTAAAATACACTACTATTTTAATTCCTATTTAGCTATTAGCAATAGAGCTATTAGCAAATATATTTAGGTGTTATTCCTTTATTTTAAAGTAGTCTTTATATACTTTATTAAAGCTATATTAATTAGATTTATAGTTAACTATTATTATGCTTTATAGTAGGGTAGCCTATACTAGAATGACTTCTATACTTATCTCTATCTTTCCTAACTGCATTTCTATATTATAAAAAGGGGAGGTAAACAACTTTGATCTAAGCTTCTTAACTAGTTTTCTAAGCTGTACCTTTAATAAGTTAGTTTCTAGCAATATATGGAGTCTTACTTAGAATTTACTAATCTTTAATTTTAGCTAAATATATAGGAGAGGGAGTAAAGCTTTAGCACTAAATGCTTTAATTAAGGTTATATAAATATATTTAACAATTACTTAAGCTCCTATTCTCTATATAGGATTAAGAATCTTAGCTGTGCTATTGTTAATCTTTCCCTTAAAGAACCTAGAATATTATATTATAGCTACGTAGTCTGTTCTTAAAGCTATTGTAGCTTAGTATAGTTGTTATGCTAATTGTAATCCAATATAGAAAAGGCGTTTAAATTAAGTAGCGCTTCTTTATCCTCTTATTTTAATTTTAGCTAGATAGTTCTTAAACTTTAGCTTAGCATTGAAAATAACTTCTAGGATTCTCTTTTTTATAGAGGGTTTAATAATATAGTTACCTATTCTAAATAGAGAGTTAGTATTACTAATCTTTTTACAATTTTATATAAAATGTATAAGAATTGTCTTATTGCTTTTAAACGTAGCGCTACTGTCTTTTGCCTATTAGAGGGCCTTTAAAATAACTTTATTATTAAATACTGATATATTCTATTTTATTAATTCTGAAATGGCTTATTAAATATAGTTATTTATAAACCCTATATTACCTTATCTCTTATTAATCTTCTCCTTTATTAGGAAAGTGTTAAAGAAAATATATAGAATTAGTGTAAGTGTTAATTCTTATAAGAGACTTAATTCTGCAAAAGTGACTTAATTTGATTCTATACTATTAATAAATACTATAGCTAATTGGTTTATATAAAAGGAGTTAACCTATATAATTATACAGGTTAGAATCCCTTCTATATATAGCTAACTAGTAAGCACTTACTATAAAACGCTATTATATATTCTTTTTATATTAAAGCTAATAAAGGAAAGGACTTTCTTTTATTGCTATGCTTTAAAGATTTTCTTAATTAAAAGGAGTAACACTTAGTTGCATAATTGTTTTAGCTTTATATTAAATTATGTTTTTAAAAGGAGGTTAAAAGTCTCTATTTAGTATAATATTCTTTTTACTAATATTAGTTCTATTAGCTTGCTTAGGGTAGCTAGGAGGGAGATAGGGCAGTATGCTTTTGCTATATAGTAATCAGGTTTCCCTAGCTTTTATAGTAATAAGATTTACGCTGTCTTCTATATAGTTAGTATGTGTCCTAGCTAGTATAACGCATTAAAGATATTAGTGACTTAATTACTTAAAATGGATTATAAGCGTTTTTATATAATATTTAGAATGCTGTTTATACTTAGCGCTTTATATAGACTAATCTTAGCTATTGCCCTAGTTACCTTTTTAATAGAGATATTCAGATTGTCTATATATTTTGTTTAGAAATTAATAGGAAAAAGTATTAAAGTAGCTTAGTTGCTTTAGCATTATTACTTTTAAGCTCTATCTTTTAGCTTTTAATACTAGTAACTATAATAAGGATATTGCTAAACGCTAATAGTTATAGGTTAAAGTCCCTAGCTATTTTCCAGATGTTGTCTATCTATGCTAGCAAGTTATTCCAGTATAGTTGCTTTTTGTTATAAATGCTTTTATAAAACTGGTGCTTAGCTTACTTAGCTTTATAACAACTTTCTTCTCTATCTAGCTCTATAGTTTATAATGTATTACTTAAGTTCAGTTATTAGATATATTTATTACAAAGCTTAGTAAATTTGTTATCTTATTATAATTTCATATATAAGGATTCTTTAACTATTAGGCTGTAGTTGCAAATGTATTAACTCACTATATTCTAAATCTCTATAACTGCTTAATTGAGCTTAGTAATATTGACAATATTAATAATTAATAGTTTCTATTCTTTAAATGCTTTAATAGCTGTATTTTAGTTTATCTTTTTAAAGTTGTACTTAGCCTTTAATAGAGCGACTATCTTAACCTCTTTGATTTGAAGTGTTATAGCTTCATAGTCTGACCTGTATTAGGTTAGGTAAATACTGTATTCTGTAACCTAGTCTTTTATTAAGTTAGACATTAGCATAAGGTTAATAATAGTTCTAAAGCGTCTTTATAGAAACGTAACTGTGCTGCTTAATAGCGCTAAAAAAGTATTATATTAATAAATTTATTAAAGCACTAGTTTACTTTCTTTTATATATTGTAATTGTAGCATATTGACTTCTCTTTATATTATAATAAGGAGGTTTTCTCTATATTTTAATTTTGCTTCTTAAATAGCGCTGCTTAACGCATTGAACCTAGTAGTAGCTGCCTCTTCTAGGTCCTGCTTAGAAAAGGCGTGTTAGCTCTAGCCTAAAATGTAGATTAATGTAATAAAAATATATTCTATTAAAATAGTAATAACCTTTATAATTATATTTAATAACTATATAAGGAATTAAATAAATGGAATATTTTTATAAATATATAGTATTAACTAAAACGCATAATGCGTTAGTCCTTCTTAATAAATAGATAGAATTACAGTAGTTAAGCATTAATATTAGGAAATGTATAGTTTACTATTAATATTAGCTATATTTAGTTCTATAATTATAATTGCTATGAACTAGTTAATAGACAGATTGTTAATAAGGCTAAGTTGAACTAGGGATTGTCTATTCACATTCGCTAAAAGGAAACAGATATCTCCTATTAAATATTGCTTATAGTGACTTCCTATCTAGTTTATTGATTAGTAACAGTCTGCCATTTTTTGTTTCTATTATAAATAGGCTAATTAGTGTGTTGTCTTCCGCTTTAGATTCTGCTAAACTTATTATAATATGCTAAACATTCTACGTTTATAATAATATATAATCTACTATATGCTGCATATTTAGAAGCTATAGCTTTATAATTATTAATTGTATAATTTTCTATATATTACTATATTTTAGTAGTTAGCTACACCTAGCCTAATAGTGGCTATATTTATTGCAGTTATAGCATCTTTAGAAGCGTTAGAGTTTCCAGTATTTACTAACTACAGCTATATTGCTATTAACCTTAATTGTTTATTTAGTAAGAGCTTGTTAAGCATTCTTAGCTGTAGCTAAATAGACTACTATAGATCCTGCAGGTTTCTCTCCCTTAGATAGCTAGAATGCCTTAATAGCGCCTGTAAATTTGTTCTTAGTAGTAAATGCTATTACAAACTCTGGATAGATTTTACAGATGCTAGGTACTAGAACTGCTATCCTATATATATTATTAACTTTAATTAGAAAGCAGTTCTCTTTACAAATTTAGGCTATTTTGAATACTTAATAAACTTATTACTTAACTGTAGTTGTGCTATGTCGTTTTTATTTTAGATAATAACCTTTATAATTCTCGCTTTTATTTGAATTCCTTTAATAGTGACTGCATATACTAATAGTTAGAATATAATTGCTTTCTTAATTTGTTTCTCTATAGCTTTGCTGTCTTTAGCTAATTTATATTATTTAGTTAACATTTGGCTAAGGTTAATTGTAACGCCTAGGAATTGTTATAGCTTCTCTAAGAAAGTTAGTAGGATTAATAGCGTTCTATTGCTTATATAAGGTTAGATAGCTAATAATAATAGGTTAACTAACCTCAATGCTACAAAGGTATATAAAGTTAATAGTAATGCTGCTATATTAAAGTCAGCTAGGGATAATAGGTTTGACTATTTAAAGATTAAAAGGACTGTCCTTCCTTTGTTAACGCTAGAGTTAATAGTCCTAACCTCTATATTAAGAACCTTAATATTAGCCTTTAATTTAGTATTTATTATTTTAAACTCCTTTTTAAGCTTTTTAATTCTTATAAGTAAGCGTTTAAATCTTATTTTAATAATGTTAAGTTTCTTTATAATAATATTAAATGTTGCTAGCAATGCAACATTCTTTTAATAAAGAGCTTTAGCCTAATTCTGGACTTGCTTGTTCTAATATTAGAGTTGCTTAAGCAGTTTGTTAAATTTGCTATTCTAAGCGTTTATTACTTTTTTAATAAGGCATTTTATTATATCTTTAATAAAAACAGCGTTATTACTTATATTAAAAGAGCGGATAGGCTGAATCAGCTCTCTATTGCTCTATCTAATATTTTTAGCTTTTTTTTAAGCTGCTATAGCAATGATTGGTCCCTTTAGGAATAACGCTAGTATGATTATTATAATAGCATTACTAAAATGGTTAGGCAGCACTCTTTCCCTTAATTAAAATTGACAGGAGTTGGATAGTCCGACTTGTCAAGTCGACTTGTAGATGAAACTGTCAATAAACTGATGAATATCGATAAAAAAAATTTCGATGTCGTTTTTTTTCCCTACAAAGCCATGTGGAAGACGGCATGCTTAGTTATGCTTGCCATATGATTCTTTTCAGAGTATATATTGTATCCTCAAACTGTGGTTCCACGTGATCAGCCGTACATCCAAGATGTACAATCCACAATCCCATGTGGTCTAGCGGCTAGGATTTGTCGCTTTCAAACATGCCATGTGTTGAGAACCGACAAGGCCGGGGTTCGATTCCCCGCATGGGAATGCTTCTTGTTTTCGTCCTCACACATTCTGCTAATTGGAGGGATGTGGCTGGCTTCTTTTGTGGATTTATTTGTACATCATTATTTCTTTTAGTCATGCAGCTTGTCTACCTACATTTGTTATCAATTGAGTACAATCTGCTTCGACTTTGTGAGAGATATGGCGGTTCCACAACAAACAACAAGAACAGGACAACACCTTTGAAACCAGTGTCTTCGTTATCATGCTAGCCAACAGAAGATATTATGGCACACATAGAAGAGGTAGAGACAAAATCTCCATCTGACATTTTGCATTCGCATCTATCTCCAAACTTTTGTACTGCTGACTCGAAGCCTCGTCACGATTCGACTATTCTAAGGGAGTAGTACCAGTAAAATTACCAGTCTGCGTCGTATAATCCCCCCTCTGCTCAAGACTAGCAATCCTACCCAACAAGAACTCCAACTGCCTATAAGCCGCACCAGGCGTGTACTGAGGAATCTCATGGCCGGCACCATTGACAGTGACGAAAGTCAAGCCTCTCTCCGAGTGCGTGGTACCCAGGAGTCCGGCGCCCGCGACATCGGTCTGTGGCGTGGTGTCGCTGGGCTGGTATTCCGTGTCGTAGACGATGGTGCCCAGACTCTGATGGTAGGGCACGTAGAAGTTTAGGTTGGAGGGCGGCGCGGTTTGGAAGCCCTGTTTGCCGCCCCATGTCATGTTTTGGATTGAGGCTAGGGTGCCGTTTGTCATGAGTAGGAAGTCGAGGTTTCCGTTGCCGATGATGACGTTTTTGGTGCGGTCGATCACTTTGGGGAGGGGGCCTGTTGAGGAGGGTGGTGAGAGGTCTCCGTTGGGGAAGAGGGTGTCGTCGCCGCAGACTGTGTAGTGGGCTGGAGGAGCGTGGAGGGCGGCTTGGACGTCACTGCGGTTGAAGTAGTTGTTTGGACCGGTTGCGAGGGATGGGAAGCCCATTTCGTCCCAGAGGAACGGGCAGAAGTCAGTGATGTGATAGAGGTTGAAACATGGATTGACAAGGACCGCGGCACCGACAATGTCGTCGTAGACATCGCAGCCGTCAGCCAACTCATCAGACGGGGTTGGCAGGGTGCCATTAGGAGGGAAGCTAAGGGCGCGGTCAAGGAGTGCGTTGTAACCGCACGACTCAGCGCGCTCGTTGATGTCCTTCATGAAAGTTTCGTTCAGGGCGAAAAGATTGGACCATGAGTTCAGGAAGGGGACTGCTGGGGCGTATATGGCTACCTCGTCGTATCCAATACTCGGGTCATTAATCTGGATGCCCTTGAGGTTGTAGTGTTCGGTATCGTTGGCCTCCAGCATCGCTTCGGCGATGTAAGGGATGTATTGACCGGCGTAACTTTCTCCAGTGATGTACACCTTTCTACCCTGCAGGCCAAATGTTTCGACAAAGTTTTTCCAGAAGCCCAGAAACTCTCTTGCAACATCTCCTTCATCGTTAATCTCTGCTGGTGCGCCAGATGCGAATGGCGAAAGACCGGTTCCAATTGGCTGATCAACGTAGACCATGTTGGTCAGATTGGTCCAGGAGTATGGGTTCTGTATGGGGGCATACGTTCCCGATTGCCACAGGAAAGGCCCATTCTCCTGCAACAATCCATCCAGAGAACTGCAGCCCGGGCCACCGTTCAACCAGAGCGTGATCTCATCAGAAGCCTTGGGATTCTCTGAGGGGAAGAACCAGAAGAATAGCTCGTTTTTGTTGGATGAGTTGCTGTTAATGCTCAGTGTGCCGGCGTACGATTCGCCTATATCGAAATCGACCAGGGGAATGCCACTGCCATTCACAGCAAATGCTGTGCGTCTGTTAGGTAGGTGTTTACTGAGAACTCTTGCTTCCAATTTTCACATACGTGCAGATTTAGAGGTTAAATAGGACGACGTAGTATTCTTAGAAGCATAGCTTGGCGGGGAAGTTGATCTCTTGTTGAGGAGAGCTGCCTTCCTGTGTGGGTTTTGCAGTGCCGACGTGAACGAGGCAGCTGCCACGACCGCGAGAAGGACGGAGTAGTACATGTTTGCCGTGCAGAAAAGAGGAATGAGCGAAAGCGACTACTTACACTTGTTCAACCAAGGGGATGTTCCACTATTTAATCACGAGGCAAGGCCTGAGTCAAGGCCGATCCTACCTTATAGTCCTTTACATCTGTTCGGTAGCGAAGGTTACATCAGAAGGAAGAGTACAAACTCTGATTAATTTGCTTCCGCCCATCCGCTAAGTGCCTTGGTTTCGTGGAGATGTGAGTGGCTGGGATGGATTTAGGCATACCACATACGAGAAACACCATACTTTGGTGAAGATCTGCGCGGGCAAGCAAGTATTGTTGGAAACTGGTTGGCTCACGGACCACTCCTAGGAGCTTCAGGCTGCAAGGTACCGTGCTGTAATGATGTGATACGAGATAACAATGAGTAGCGCAATCGTCACCCCCCGAACTTTCTGTATAAGGAAGGCGACAATATGAAGTTGCGTGAGCTACTGTGGGCGATCGTGGTATACTTGCTACAAGGCGCGTGATACGGTGTGAAAAACAGGAAGGTAAAACAGCTGCAGGCTAGGTCATAGCGGAGATTTGAGCCCCGCTTGTATAGGTAGCCGGTGATAGCCGCGTCACTGGCAGTACCTTGGGGTGACCCTGTCTGACCAGACTTGTCTGCCGATTGGGACAGCCAGTCACTGTTATGACTCGACCGCAGCAGAGGAGGAGCACTCCCTTTCTGGCGCAATATGGTTGTGGTAAACCAAATTCCCACATCACAAATGTAGTATATAAGCACTATTAACAAGCTGTTGTGCAATGGTCGGCAAAACCAGATATGAACCTCGGACGCATCCACTTCACGTATGAGTAGCACCTCGGCTTCGTTCTAACTCCAAAAATTATGGACCGATATGGGAGCACTCGTTCTTCAACATGCGAATCCTGTACAGAGCAACATGATTGGGCGCTTCGGATCGTTTCGTAGGCCTGATAAAACACTGTACCTCATGATCTGATAGCAGTTGTTGATAGAATTTGTAAATCATGCAAATGTTGAGCAAGGACAATGTACGAGCATGAGCGCACACAATAAAAAGTGGATTCAGGTCTCTTACTGTCCATGTTGAGCGTAGTAAAAAATTTGTTAGTATTGTTGAAATCGAAGACACCTGCCAAATATTTATATGTCCCTTGACATGGAATGAGAGTACCTTGAGCCATGGTATCGAATCATGTCTTGGTTGATGCTCACCATTCCATGGCTGAAAAGTCCCCATCACATGTACTACTGTCTTGTAGAGGTTGCGCACACGTTCCTTGGAATTGCCTGAGCCGCAATCTATACCAAGCTTTGAAGTGCTTGGCCATAGCTTCACCCCTCGGAGAGATCCCCGTGATCAACATTGCACTGCAAAGACTGGAACCGTACACACGTATTACAAGTGAACATAGTGGCAAGGTTGAGGTGAATCATTTTCGGTCTCATTGAGAGACGTACTAATATTATTTAATTCATGTCAAAGTTGAGTCATGATTATCTAGGACCAATTGAGCCCGTTCCGTCATAGCATTTCATTCCAATGCAGCCGTCATTCCTTTAGCCTTCAGAAGACTTGAGGTTCATCGTGTGCGGAAGAGTCTAGACACTGATTAGCGATGAATCACAGAAGCATTGATGGATCGACATACACTTTAGATGCCCTCCTTGTTGGCCTTGGCAGAGCCCTCGTGCTTGGACTGGTCCATCTTGTCACCAGCGGCGGAGAGAGCACCAGAGGCGCGGTCGGTAAGGGAGTCCTGGCCGGGGACGTTGCCCTTGGCCTGCTGCTTGTTGGCCTCCTTGGAAGCCTCAGCAGAGTTGCCCTGGACAGTCTCGGAGACCTGGATTTGTTGTTAGCGACTAAGCGTCAGGTCATCTTCTGATGAACGACTCACGTAGTTGGCGGCGTTGGAGATGGAGTTGGAGATCTGGCCAACGATTCCCTCGTTAGGCTTGTCGGCGTTAGGGACAGACATTTTGATGTGTGTGGTTTGAGTGGTTGAAAAGTGTTTGAAGTTATTGGAGATGATGTGAGAGTGTTGTTGATGAGAAAGGGAAGGAGGCGGTTGCTGTGGTCTTAAATAATAGAAGGGTGGTCGGCGAGCCACAAACAAAGCCCCGCCATGGGTGAATGTGATGTCATAATGACGCCCCGCGTCTTCATCCCACGGCCCACACTCGATCCAGTTCTTGAGGCTCTCCTCCAACTCTGCGGCCCCTGCTGATCCCCTAGCGGCTCTGCTATTGACATTAGTAGCAGCTTATTGGCAAGGTTAACGTCACATGGGTGAGGATACGCCGCCTCATAAGGGAGCCTGGACTACAGGTAGGTGCGTGACATCTCCAAGCACATCCACACATTTCCACAGCCAGTGGAGTAATGGCGCAAGCAGACACATCTGGACAAATCTCGCCTTTTAGCATCATCGCGGCAAGGACCAAAGGCACACCATCGTCTCTCGATCCTCAAGCAAGTTGGTAACGCCTGAGTCCATGGCGTGCTGTACTGTACAGAATGGCGCCGAGTGGCTCTCATGCACATGACAGTGATGCAGTTAAATTCAAAATGACAACGTCTCTACGTCCTGTGACCACTGACGACAGCAGTATGCAAGTCGGTCCGTATGTACTTGGTTGCTGAGTCGTCCTCTTGAAGCACCGTCTTCATTATCTACTCGTACAGAGTTGTGCTTTTCACTTTTAATATTTGCTGCTGCAAGGACCTCACCATTTCGAGGCATATTGCTCACGCTAAGAAGGCCAGGAGCGGCGACGTGTCCACAGCATTCCACAGCCTGCGTAAGGTACCTTAGTTACTCCGTCATCCTACTATCCGCAATGCGGCTACCAATGCCTATTCGCGCAGCGGAGACAAGACCACGAAGTCCATGGGCAGACTACCTTTCACTTCGAATTTGAGGATAATCGTCGGCGGTCACACAAGAGCTCCTCGATGC